TAACGTGATTTTAAGACTCCTTCTTTAGCCTCTTTGTCCTTTGAGTGGAGATAAATTATAAAATATTTATATATTAAAGTACATATTGCTAAAAGAGGAGTGAGACAACATCACTACTCCAAAAAAACAAAAACAAATTTATGTTTGTACAAGGGATACTGGAGGAAGGGAATTTGAAGATTGAACGTTGACGTTTATGGAGGAGTAACTGCTCTTAATCATTTGAGATAAAACCCACCTTATCTTTGCACCCACTATATAAATTTGAAAAAGAAAAAACAAAGACAACAAACTTTCTTTCTTCGCACCATATAATAAAGAAGATAATAGCTTTTGGTTTTCCCGACGTATAATAAAGAAGAGATTTTGACCTTGAGCTGCCTCCATCCTGCCCAAGCTATAGGTTGTTGATAGCTTTCTCTCTATGCCTTCCCTATTTTGTAGGAGACTGCCCAATTTCTCAAGCACTTCTTCATTGGCCATTGATTGAACTACAAATTTTTGCTCAAGTTTTATGATTGTTCTATCAAATGCCTTGGTTTTTTAGTATGAGAGAACGCTAGGATTGTGTTTTTTTAAAAAAAAATTTATAAATTTACATGACGAGTGGAAAAATAAAGTTGGTGGAAATAGCAGCACTCTATCATAAAGATAATCCCATTTTGTAGGTAGGTGCATGCCATTTTGTTGCGCAGCCCTTGGGTCCAATTATAAGAAGTTCTCCTGACTTGTGGAACCTAGACGGGTTCTTGTCTTGTGGTACATACATCATTAATTTTATGGCATTATTTCAAAATGTTTACCGTAAGTGATTAATTATATTCAAATTCTTGAGAGTATTTTGGATTTGAATAATTAAGGTTTTAGTCGTAAATACAAATTATCCACTAAATTTCATTCTAAATATTTTCTATCTCCTTGCAATAGTTTCAGGGCATGTTTACTTTTCTACAAATGGAATGAAAGGAATGGGAGTCATTTCCATTCCTGAACACTCATTTGTTTACTTTTCGCACAATGTTAGAAATAACAAATTCATATTGAAAGTCAAAAGTTAAAAATAAATAAAAATTCTAAATAGAAAACAAATCACAGCAAATCTATATGGATGCTTATTGAATATTAATTCGAACACAACCCCAATCTAATTGTAAATGAATTGAAAGTTTTTTTTCCCTAAGAACTTACTTGTACCTAGTTTTAGACACATTCATTCGAAGGAATGAACCTGGACGGGTACCCATCCAGCATCATGCAAACGCAAGCACAAACGCCATGCTTTCGCCTACCCCGTCCTTTTTTCTTGGACAAGCCAACCCCGTCCTTAAGGTCCAAGGGCATTTTCGTCATTCCACTCAACCCCACTCAGTCTATATAGTGAAGCCACTTGCCTTATTGTCAATGGCATTGTCAGCTACCCGTCTTGTTCTCCTCTCACTCGTAACGCTCTCTCTCGCTCTCACTTTCCAACTCCTCCCATTCCCCTTTCCCAATCCAATGGCAGCAACCAAATCCAAAATCCTCTTCATCGGAGGCACTGGCTTCATCGGAAAGTTCATAGTCGAAGCCAGCGCCAAGGCAGGCCTCCCAACCTACGCTCTGGTGCGAGAGCCCACTCTCTCTAACCCAGCCAAGGCCAAAGTCATCGAGAACTTCAAAGCTCTGGGTGTCAATTTCGTCTTGGTATGTTAAATTTCCGAGATTTTTCAGCTTTCCAGTTTGATTTGCCATTTGGGTTTTGCTTAATTTTTGTTCTGTTGTTTTTGGTGATCGTTTTCAGGGTGATCTCTACGACCATGTGAGCCTCGTGAAGGCGATAAAGCAAGTCGATGTGGTGATTTCAACAGTGGGTCACGGTCAGTTGGCTGATCAAGGCAAGATCATCGCTGCTATCAAGGAAGCTGGCAATGTTAAGGTATAAGTTTCGATCTTTATCTTGGTTTTCTCTGTTTTTGCTTTTGTGTCTGTGTTTTCTGTGTTGCGATTGTGAATGTGTTGTTGGGTTTCAGAGGTTTTTCCCATCTGAGTTTGGAAACGACGTGGATCGAGTTCATGCTGTTGAGCCAGCAAAAACTGCATTTGCAACCAAGGCCAATATTCGCAGAGCTATTGAGGCTGAGGGGATCCCTCACACCTATGTGGCCTCCAACTTCTTTGCTGGCTACTTCTTGCCCACTCTGAACCAGCCCGGAGCCACTGCCCCTCCCAGGGATAAAGTTGTCATTTTGGGTGATGGAAACCCCAAAGGTAAACAGAACCCACTTTGGCTTCTGAGATAAATGAATCAATGTGATGGTTGTTTCATTACTTTGAATTTGATGCACAAAACCCAGTTTGTAATTTGACTGAATATACAACTACCAATGAAATAATGGGATGGGGTTTCATTTCTTTGACTTGTTACATAAAACGCGCTTTGGTTTTTTTTTTTTTTTTTTTTGACAAAATGATGAAAAGCCAAAGAAATGGATGTGATGGGGTTTTCATTTCTTTGATTTTGCAGCAATTTTCAACAAGGAAGAGGACATTGGGGCCTACACCATTAAGGCCGTGGATGACCCAAGAACCTTGAACAAGATCCTCTACATCAGGCCCCCAGCCAACACCATCTCATTCAATGATCTTGTGTCTCTTTGGGAGAAGAAGATTGGTAAAACCCTTGAGAGGATATATGTTCCAGAGGAGCAACTACTCAAGAACATTGAAGGTCAGTAATAGGAAATACTAAAACTTAGCAACAACTGGTATTTACTTTGTCAATGGACTGATTCATTTTTCTCATCGTCTTCTTTCTTTTTTCTGCAGAGGCTGCTGTGCCAATCAATGTGATTCTGTCGATTGGTCACTCAGTTTTTGTGAAGGGAGACCATACTAACTTTGAGGTCGAGCCCTCATTTGGAGTGGAAGCTTCGGCCCTTTACCCTGATGTCAAATACACTACTGTGGACGAGTACCTTAACCAGTTTGTTTGAGCCTGAAAGCCTCATCTTGTTGGGTTTTCTTTGAGTAAAACTAGCACTGTCTTTGCAAATAATTAGCTAGTTGGTGTGCAAAAATAGCATATGGGGGCTACCCCCTTTATGTCATCTCTGTTGTACTGTGCTACCTTTGGTTAAATGATGGAAATGAACGCCTGTAGATTTTATTTTAATTTCTTTTGCAATTCCTTTTCTGTTTCTTCTCGTTTTCGGCTTCAGTTGAATTGTTCATCATTATGGCCATTACTTTTCGAAGATGCAATTTTGGATGAAAAATGAGACTTTGCATTCTCATCCTTTATTGTTTTTGCTATCTCGGATACCTATGCATTGGAGGTTGAACAGGGAAAGACGTACCTGCTACGAATCATCAATGCTGCACTCAATGATGAGCTATTCTTTGCCACTGCTGGTCACAACTTGACAGTGGTAGAAATTGATGCAGTCTACACCAAACCATTCACATCTCAAGCAATACTAATAGCACCAGGGCAGACCAGGAATGTTCTCGTTCAAGCCAACCAAGCGCCCGGAAGATATTTCATGGCGGCCAGGGCATTCATGGACGCACCGGTTTCCATTGACAACAAAACTGCCACTGGAATACTGCAGTACAAAGGCATCCCAAATACTGTGCAGCCATTTCTTCCCCAACTTCTGGCACTCAATAACACAGCTTTTGCATTGAGCTTCAATGCCAAGCTAAGAAGTCTAAACACAGCACAGTTCCCGGCCAGTGTACCTCTTAAAGTTGATCGACATCTCTTTTACACGATCGGGTTGGGAATTAACCAATGCACGACTTGCCTCAATGGAACACAGCTCATTGCTTCTTTAAACAATATCACATTTGTGATGCCCCAAGGGAGTATTTACCACAGATTTCCCAGACTGCCCTCCAGCACCTTTCAATTACACGGGTGCACCACCCATTGCCAACCTTGGCACTAAACTAGGCACCCGGCTTAGCAAACTTGCCTTCAATTCAACAGTTGAGTTGGTGCCACAAGACACCAATCTTCTCACAGTGGAATCACATCCCTTCCACCTTCATGGTTACAATTTCATTGTTGTTGGGACCGGACTTGGGAACTTCAACCCCAAAAAGGACCCAGCAAAGTATAACTTGGTGGATCCTCCTGAGAGAAACACAGTTGGAGTTCCCACCGGTGTTTGGGGTGCCATAAGGTTCAGGGCTGATAATCCAGGTAAACACAGCAACATAACCAAACAGAAGGCCACATTTTAATTCAAAGTGGCTAACTACAGGCCGTTTGATAACCATTTCAATTTTAGTTTTTAGTTGAGGATGAGAGGGGAGGATGGGAGGGAGGAGTAACAAAAGTGACAAAAACTTGAAAGTAAAAACAATTTCAAATAGATTTTAGTTTTTAGTTTTTGTTTTCACTTTTGTTACTCCTCCCTCCCATCCTCCCCTCTCATCTTCCCTCTAAATGCCATTTCCACTTTCATTCTCACTTCCATTCTCCCTCACGTTCCTCTATACTTTAGCACAAAAAATATGAACTAAAAACTAAAATTGAAATGGTTATCAACACTCCATATTGCGATGTATAAGGCTCCTTTAAGCTCTCTAAACCTTGGACCTAGACCAAAGATCCATTCCTAGCATATTTGTAGATGCAACATGAAAAATAGAAATAAACTATCAACTTCAGTCGATGAGTCACCAACATGCATAAATCTACCGAGCAGAAGCACCAATAACAAAAGAGCAATATGTTTCAAATAACAAGTATCAAGCTTCAAAACATTCAAGAAGAGAATCTCTGTTCCAAAAAAAATCCAAATTACAGGAAGAGAAAGATGTGGAAAGATGAGGAGATACATCAAACATATTGCTATGCCTAAAACAAGAAAGTCATAAAACCGTGCATTCTAAATGACAAATGCAATGAAAGAAACCATTGAATCCGCCAGCCAGTATTATTAACAGACCAAAACTCCACTACAGCATAACAATAACAGCCACATCCAGGATGAACTTTGATCTCTACGATTTCAAGAAGCTAAGATGGAAATTAGGCATACCAGCAACGCAAGCAACACCAAAGCCCCAATACAACAAACCCATCTTCCTCTTCTCTGCTTCATCTGCTTAGCAGAAAAAGGAGCATTGGTTCCACCATGAATGTAAGCTCCAGTATCAGCCACATTCTGTTCATTATCACCCATTTGTTCCCCTTGCTTTTCAACCATCATTGCCATATCCAGGAAAACTTGATGGAGTTCTGTCAAGCTTCTCTGCAAGTCCTTCAAGGCCTCATGCTTCTGCAGATTCTCCATTGCCAGCTCAGCCTTCCCCTCAAAAACTTTGACCTGTCCACTTTCCAAAATCATCTTATCAATCACCTCCTCACTTACTTCCTCTCCAGTGGCATTATAATACCTCCTCTTGAGACCTTCTTTATGCTCTTTAACAATCTGTTGTCTCAAGCACTGAAAATCATTCGTCATATCAACAAACTAACGGAGGGACCATTTGTGATAGGTGCGTGAAACTCAGGGATGTTTTGTGATATATATGTCACATCAACAAACTAACAGAGTTTTTGACGGAACCTAACGGCAGGGACCATTTGTGATCACACATACTAACCTTGAGGACTACGAATGACACAAAAAAAACATTAAGGATGCAAGCTGATAGTTTCGTAAACCTTAAGGATGTTTTGTGATATTAAGCTTTTTCAAAATTCAGAAGGGTTTATATAATAGCCGTTATGTTTATAAACTATTAATGTACATGATGCCCATTCATGAATTGACGTCGTTAAGTAGGGCGTTCATCCATATACCTCTATCAGTTAAGTAGGGCGTTCATCCAAAACAAAATTAAACTTTTTTCCCAGAAAATGTTTCATTTTTCTCAAAGCGATATTAGTGAGAGGAAAATAAAACATGAAACCACAATTGAGCTACAAGACCCTTGTAAAATAAAATTCATTTTTAAATTTACAAAAAAAAAAAAGTTTTTTTAAACATTCCTTAGAAACAAGAAAAGAAGTACTTCAAGCAAAACTTGGCCCATTTTTTTAAGATAGGTTTTTTGCTACCAAACTTTTAGTGGAAAAATTACACAAACATCACCCTGACAGGTGTGCATATATACCATCCAAATTAAACTTTGGGAAATTTGCATAAATACCACTTGAACTTTCAGGTATGTGCGTCATTACCACCTGAACTTTTAATTTTTGTTTTTAACCACCTGAACTTTGTAAAGTGTTGCAATCCACCACCTACTTCTAACTCCGTTAAAATTTCCGTTAAATTTAAAGGTATTTTCTTCAATTAACTATAACAAAGAATAATTATATAAATATATATATATATATATATATATATATATTTAAAAAGTTAACCTAATTACATCACCTTCGCCCTACCTCTACTCCTACTTTCCAACTTTTCCAACGTCAATTCGCTCCACCGCGAAAAAACCCACCCTCTACACACACCCAAGCACTATCAATGAACAAACAATTCAACCAAATTTAGCAACTTACCATGCAAAAGTATCTTTGAATGTGAATGTACCACCTTCGTCAATTTTCATCGACACACATCACAATCTGAATATGTGGACCTATTCTCCTTTTTTTTTTTTTTTTTTGAAGACCTTTCTTATTGAGAGAGGCGATAGCATACTAAACTCACACACACTACACGGATGCTAGGACTCGACCCCATGATCTTTCCTGAAGGAGCAATTACTCCAAACCACTAAACGAGTGGGTCCTTTGCATGTGGATATATTCTTAAGTTGCCAAAGTACACTTGAAAAGGGCCACGTGATGAACGGTGTAATCAAACTGAAAAATGAAATATGGGTGATAAATTGTTTATGAAAAAAAAGCTTTGGTTGTATTTGTGTAAAAAAAAATTTGAAAAGAGGGACGATAATATACTAAACTCACACACACACTACAAGGATGCTAGAACTCGAACCCAGAATCTTTCTTCGACGAGCAATTACTCCAAATCACTGCAATAGTGGGTCATTTGATGTGCAAACCTCCTCTCTCCCCCTCTCCCCCCACCAACCTCTCTCTTACCGAGTAGTATATTTTACACTGGAGGACACTCACCACCCAAAAATGTCTTCTTATCCTTTCACCATTACAATCTCACCACAACACTTTTCTGCATCCATCAACATTTAGTTAAACCAACACAATCCTGCCTCCGGTGTTCAACTTCCCTTCTTCCAATATGACTTTTGTATATTGGATATTGGAAAAAGAAAACTACTATAATAAATTCAAAACATATAAATCCTTTCAAAATTTAGATTATGAAAACATTAAGATTGAGTAAAATTGTATTATATTTTACACTGGAGGACACTCACCACCCAAAAATGTCTTCTTATCCTTTCACCATTACAATCTCACCACAACACTTTTCTGCATCCATCAACATTTAGTTAAACCAACACAATCCTGCCTCCGGTGTTCAACTTCCCTTCTTCCAATATGACTTTTGTATATTGGATATTGGAAAAAGAAAACTACTATAATAAATTCAAAACATATAAATCCTTTCAAAATTTAGATTATGAAAACATTAAGATTGAGTAAAATTGTATTATATTTTACACTGGAGGACACTCACCACCCAAAAATGTCTTCTTATCCTTTCACCATTACAATCTCACCACAACACTTTTCTGCATCCATCAACATTTAGTTAAACCAACACAATCCTGCCTCCGGTGTTCAACTTCCCTTCTTCCAATATGACTTTTGTATATTGGATATTGGAAAAAGAAAACTACTATAATAAATTCAAAACATATAAATCCTTTCAAAATTTAGATTATGAAAACATTAAGATTGAGTAAAATTGTATTCATGGAATAATTTATTATTAACGAGTATAAACTTTCTACTAAAAGGCTATAATATGTAAAAATAAGGAGACTATTAAAAATAAGTTAGAACTCATCTGACCCCTCAATAGGCAAGAAAAAAATTATAGAAGGGGAATAAAACCTTATTAGCCGGCCCAAACAGCAAGCTGTAGAGGCATTAATCTATCAAATAAACAAAATGAAAAGGAAAAAAGAAAAAGAGGGGAACCTGTCAGACAACCGTGTGACCACCCCAGCCAGAGAAACTGACTGAGAACGATCCTCTACGGTCATGATGATCACACAAGGACCATCAGATTGTTAATCACGCTCTGATCACACGGTCATGATTCATCCACCAGGTTGGGATTCCTGTCTCCTTAGAAATCAAGGATACAGAGGTACGATTACTATAGAACAGATCCTGTCCAAGTAAGGTCGTGGCCTTTCAGCTGTCAATTGGGTATATGAAGCGCTTCGGTTCTTCGTAAAATATCGATGTGGGACTGAAAGTGGGACTTCTGACGCTTTGGTCTCTCTGGTCTTCTGTTTGTCATTGAGGAAGAAGTGAAGATTGCACTAGAGGAAATTAAAAGGAAGTTGGTAGTGTTTATGAAGAATGTAGAGGATTTGGGAGCTCAAACTGATACCTGCAGCCAACTGACAACTGAAAATCGATGATCCTCGATATTTAACCAATTTCTTTTTTTATGTTGGAAGACATTTGAATTTGTGTAACTTTCAGTTTTTTATTTTTTCATCAAATTTTTTCATTCATAGATTGTACCTTTGGATCCAGACAATTGCATTAATATATAAAAGAAATAGTGTAAAGACTATATAGGAATTTCGCCCAATTTCTCAATGGACCCAAATGACAGTTAATGAATGGTCAAAAGATAAAGAGAGGTTAAAATATGATCGATTGTTCTGTGAAGTTTATATTTTTCAACTGCCCATTTAGCCTCTAGAAATCCATAGCCATACTCGTAAGAATAATCAACAGGTTTCTCTGAAATTGAGACTGCTTTGTAGTCTCTGATGAGGTCTTGTGATCCTGGGCTTCCAACCACTGGTAGATTGTGCTGTTACAAATTGTTAACAGGATGACTTCAACAATGGTAACACTTTTGGTGATGCTATGTTTTTGTTTAAGAAATTATGGCTGCAGCAAAGTCATGGCCATGTCTGCTCCAACAGAAGAGGACTTGGAATTATATACCCACTTAATCTTGTATTTGATTGGAATTTTCTCAAAAGCAATTTTTACTTTACCCTTATGAAAATAGTTACCATCTAGAGCTAGCTAGTAGATTGCATTTGTTACAATTTTTATACTTTTGATATGAGTCATCCAGCCATATGGATTTGCCTGAGTCACACTTTGATATTGTCGATCTGTTTTACAATTTTTATACTTCTGATATGAGTCACAATGATATATTATCGATCTGTAAATTTGATTTTTTCCCCTTTTTATGTTGAATTAAGCTCGACAGTGATATCATAGATTGCGTAGACATCAATCATCAGCCTGCCCGCGATCACCCTTTACTCAAGAATCACAAAGTCCAGGTACACTAAATAATCAGCACCTGTTGATTATTTTCATTTTTTGCTGTTCTTCTTATTTTCACCATGATTGATAGTATTTATCACATTTGTGCAGCTAAGACCAACTTCAATTCCTGCTACTCAGACGAAAAAATCAGCCCTTGTGAATAAACCATTACAGGCAGGGTTTATGCAGGCAGGATGCCCTAATGGAACAGTTCCTATCCATAGAACCACAAAGGAATATTTAACAAGGGCAAAAAGTCTTTCACATCAGATATTTAGTAATATCAGCCAAATTAATGCGATTGTCCCAAATGTTCATGTAAGTATTTATCATAATTTACATCATGATGATCCCCCTTTCTTGTACAATAACGTCTCAAGTACCTCGTCCGGCCAAGATATCTTATATTGCCAGACTGACTTAGATCACAGCAGCAGCAATATAAACATTTGTTGACAACATAAGTTTAGCAACAGAACATTTTAACGGTATCGCCGCACGGCTATACTGTATAAATATAATATTTTAGAGGTATAGCCGAGCGGCTATACTCGATAAATATAAAGAAAACTTTGGTTACAAAATGGAAAATAATAAGGATATAGTCAATAAGTTAGTTCTGTTTTGGGGCAAGTCATATGTTTTTAAATTTTTGTTAGCTTAAAGTCAATAGGCTTTCACAAAGGCTTTAGAGTCTGTTTAATTTGTATTTAGAATTACGTTTCTACCCTTTTATTTATTAATTTATTTTTATCTAGATCTCTCGAGTCTCAGCGCGATACGAAGTGTTTGTTGGCTCCGTCTCACGCTCGTCTGAGGTTTTTTCACGGGAGAAGTTCCGGCCGAAATTGGTTCCGGCGGCTTGGTGAAGGAGTGGTCTTCGCTGGAAGATTGCCCGCCGGGGATCTCGAGGTCGACGGACTTGGTCTTCATGGAGGACAAAGAGGAGCTAGGGTTATTGTTAGGGTTCGCTGCGCTGATCTCCAGGTCTTGCACGGTGAGTTTTGCAGAGAGAGAGAGAGAGAGAGAGAGGGGCTTGCA